GTGAATATCACCGGTACCAAAAGAAAAAAGACTGAAGTGCAAACCCAACTCCCACTAGCATTTAAGCCTCCACCACTCGCAGAAAGATCAGACCGAGCCAAAGCTATTACAAACACCAAATATCCTTATGTTGCCATGTTAGCAAAGCGCTACCTGGCTGTATCTGCTACCTCTGTCCCTAGCGAGAGGGTTTTCTCCACATCAGGAGACATTGTTAGTGCCAGCAGATCTGCCCTTTCGGCAAGCAATGTGGACAGGTTCATCTTTCTTTAAAAAAACATGAAAATACAATGACAAGCAAGTCCTAATGTCAAACTGGCTGCTTAGGTGCTAGTACAGTACAGTTCAAATACAGATTATTTCAGTTCATCGAAATGCTGCACCTTAATGTTCATTTTATTATATTTTGTATTTATTTGAGTGAATATTCACAGTTTAATAATAATTAAAAACCCAAAACTAATAGTTTATGTTTTGTGAGTACTAGTACAGTAAAGTTCAAATACAGATTATTTCAGTTCATCGAAATGCTGCACCTTAATGTTTATTTTATTATATTTTGTATTTATTTGAGTGAATACATTATTCACAGTTTAATAATAATAATAAATATATATATATATATGTTTTGTTTTGTGAAAAAAAATTCTGCTGTACCGAAAACGTACCGAACCGAACCGTGACCAAAAAACCGAGGTACGTACCGAACCGAAATGTTTGTGAACCGTTACACCCCTACTAGAAAATGATGGCAGGAAGCCATTATTGTTACGTTAATAATTATCAGATCGTTTTTTCTAATGAAGTCCTGTAATAGAACAGAAACAGTTTGGTTGGTGAGGCCCTAGGCATGGATTCTTAGATGTGTAATCCCCAAAATGGATTAAATATGAGACAAATCATTACAAAACACAGGAGTTGTCCTTTCTTACGGAGTGTAGAAATGAAAAGGAAACGTATATTACTTAAAAGCAATATTTCCGACAACAAACTAAGACATGAAGAGAATATGACCACAGATAGATTTGGTTTCCCCCGCTGTCCACAAAGCTGGCAGTCAACCCTCTGACCTTGACTTCAGGTAAAGCCAAAGTTACATTCCACACAACAAACCCCCCCCCCCCCCCCCCCCCCCATCTCCTGTGTCACTGACAGAGGAGCCATGATGAGCCTCAGAGCTGTACATTAGGCCATGGTTTACTGATACTGCACTCAGTGGAAGGCAGCGTTGTAATGGTTAAGAGTTACATGATATTTGTGTCTATTATCCAACAGGATTATTATAAGGGACCTGATGCCCCGACCTTTGCACTCTTTCATTTGATTAGCTATGTAAAAATCTTCATCCTATCTTATCTTGCTCCATGCATGTTAATAAAGTTAATTATCATGTGTTAATATTTTTTTAAGTAAATGGACTCTCAACAGGAATGTAAATAAAGACAGAGGGCGCCATCCATCAGCTGCGGGAAAACAACCCGTTTAAAAAAAAAAAATCTTAAAGAGTTGCTAGATTTAGTAGCCCTCCTTATTGTTGAGCCTGTATAAGGAGGGTTCATTACGTGTCATCGTGTATGAAATAAGAAAACTGTATTGTACTATGATATTAACTTTCTGCTAGCTGTTCCTTAACCCCATCTCAGTGTCAACTGAAAATGACATCCGAGTATTACCCCAACTTTGCAGCTCCTTGCAGCTTTTAGCATAATCGTTTGGTAACCAGACCAAGAAGACAAAACAAAGCCACTTCCTGTTCAAATGCAGGATGCTTCTTACAGCAAAAGGATGGCACACAAAGAGTGTATATGCTAACTGTGTGAAAAGATGAAGTAAAGCATTTGACCCGGGAAAATAGTCAAACATTTACCAAGTACAAGAGATGCACATTTCTCAAGAGTTGGCAAACTAAACTAGGGCTAAACAAAAGTGACCATTGGACCTGTTTGAATATGACAGACAGAAATAGATCCCCTATATACTTCCTCTGGCTTGCTAGGTGCTAAACCTCTGAGCTGTGCTAAAGCATAGTGTGTAATCAGCTGGTGTGATCTCCTCGTGGCCTACGAGCTGCTGCCGAGAGCTTTATCTGAACCAGTATGGTTTTGATGGCATCACAAACTAAACAATGAGGTGATAGAAAACTGCAGAGAGTTGTGAAGTAGGGCAGTGATTCCCAGCGGAATTGAGAGTAACCCTTTCATATTATCATTAGTCCTTAGATAGTAACAGCGTAGAATATATTGCTGTATTTTGAAGTGTGAATAACACTGTGCTTGGTTTTAATGCATGAACAAACAATATGAAATGAAAAAAGTGTACTGCCTCCAGCGCACTAGCTCTGCTTAAAAAAAAAACTATAATATTGTCAACCATGACAAGTACGACCCAGCAAGCCACGACAAGGCAAACAGCATCTCTCAGTAGCAGAATATGAGTTTTTAACTACAGTTATGTGCAGCTGTGTGTTTAGGATACACATATATTACAATGTTCTCATTTAAAAACATTAGGAATGGTTTAAATATTAAACTGCTAGTTATTACAAAGGGGGCATACAATGGTGTGAATCCTCTTTTTCTAAACTCCCCTCTGGATTTCAAATGAAACATACATACAGTACTGCATAGTGAGGTATAGCTCCTTTGATAGATAGGAGGTGAAAACAAAGCAAGCACAACGAAGTGCTTAAAGGGTGGAGATATAGCTCCAGCCCATGTGTCACGAGGAATCACAAATACTGTTTTAGGTCACACTAGAATTGTTAAAATAATCCTCCTGGGGAGACGGTGTTGGATTCAGCCAGATGCAGTGGAGGACTTGAGCATGGCGAAGGCTGCAAATGAGATTGTGCTAAAGAGGACACTCTCTGGCCTCTCCGGTAAATCTAATTATCGTTCAATTGAAGGAGCAGAGGATGTGGAGGGTATGAGAGGAAGAGTGTGGAGGGTGATGAGCGTAATTAAATGCATGATGTGATCTCTCAAAGCCTAAAATGACACTGACCATACTGAACATGGCTTCCCAGGGACAGCTGATATTTCTGTCAATATGCCTGGCTGTCCTTCTAGCTCAAGACGAGTCAGAACAACTTCAGAGTGTCAAACAGCCATTTATCTTTAGACTGTGCACCTGAAAACAATACCTCCTTGTGATACGTCTCGTATTTTCTGCCTCGTAAATCTAAAGGTTTTTCTGACTCTCACTAAAAATGACAGAAGGAAAGAGTTTGTGAAAAAGAATGCAATTTAATATAAGCTCTTAAGAAAATACAAATGATGAATGTTTCACTTTAGAAACAACACTTGAAGTAACACAGGCTACTCAATCTGCATCTAAAGCTGAATTCCCTGGCCTATAGTATATTGTAAAAGTACTACAAGCCTATAGTATATTGTAAAAGTACTACAAGCCTATAGTATATTGTAAAAGTACTACAAGCCTATAGTATATTGTAAAAGTACTACAAGCCTATAGTATATTGTAAAAGTACTACAAGCCTATAGTATATTGTAAAAGTACTACAAGCCTATAGTATATTGTAAAAGTAGCAACCTCTTGTTCATAAGTTGACAACAAAAACATGTGAATGCTGAAACTTGTTTGCCTTAAAATCTGGTACAGACATACGACGTTCGCACTGTCATCTATCTGTTCATCAACATTTGCATATACATGAGAAAAAAAATTACCATTAGTAAAAGCCACAATTTTTGCAAACACTTACATTGTGTTAAATATCTAGCATGTGATTATTATTATTTTACACTGCATATCTTTGATATTCAACTTCTCATGATTTCAAAGACACCAAATACTTGATTGTGCTATGTTAGTTTCTGAGATAAAGCCCTTTTCTAATCATACTACATGTAGTCTTTCAGGTAAGGGCACAAGACAGGAGGAATGGAATATAAAGAAAGGCGTTATAAATATATATCTGTTAACATCTAAAGCTCAACTTGAAAACATAAGCAGTAGCTATTGCTAAAAAAATGTATTGCTGCTCTTCAGTTGCACAGGAACCGCAGTGGTTGACTTGAAGGTTAGATTATGTAATAGCTTTGTGTTTAGTAGTGAAACAGCCACACGAGGAGAAGTGTCCTTACTACAGTTCACTGTGGGGGTTGGTATTAGGGCAAACTTTGTACCACAGACATGGAGGATGAGCCTCCCTTTTCTAAAAAAAAGGACTCCATTGTGTTGCCACAGTGACGGAGCAGTTTGGCTGGTTACACCTCCACCTCTCTTCTTCTCTCGTTTCCTCCCAGCTAACAGCCAGAATAATTTGAGCATGCTCTCTCCTTCACGCTGAACTTCCTTGTTACTGGTAGTTTCATTCATTCTCGTGCAGGTGCTACGAAGCCATTTCATAACTCAGGCAGCCAACGGGCTATTAGTGCAGCAGACAGACAAAGCTGGATAAGGACTTTAGGGTGTCCAACAACAGGTAGTAGACAGATAAAGCACACACACTCTGCATGACCTCAATGTGTCACAAAAAACACCAGCTGATTTGCTTCAACAGCTCTTCTGCCAGGTTAAATCTCCTGACAAAGCATCATGTCTTCTTCAACTAAACACTGAGGAAAAAGTGTACCGTTATGTGTAGATAGCCAGTTAGAAGATCATTCAAAACTGAATACAATTATAATAGATATAAAAAAGACGAATAATAAGAAATATGACAAATGAGAACTTTGACATAATATGTAAGCCTGGTTTTTGCACTGAAATTGTCACAATACAAAACCATGTAGATCAAGATATTTAGTGAATGAATAATATACGTTTCATATCAAAGTAATTATAACGCATGTTGCTCAACATACAGTAAGACTTTGGCTCCTAAAGTATTTATTAGTGTTGCAAGATCATCAACGCCTTGTTATGCAGATGAGGATGATGTCAGACTTTTCAAAGATGTGTCTGTCAGTACTACTACTAAAGGGTGACAGCGTGTTATCTCAAGGCCTATCCTAAAGCTCTCATAATCAGCTTACCAGGTTGAACACCGTCTCCACGATATCCCGGTTGGAAACTTCCCCAACTTCCACCAGGCCCGCGAGCACGCCGAATTTCATCTTTATTCCCCGGATAGGCACTCCGGGGTTGAGCGCCATGGCTCCTGGAGTCCCGTCCTGAGCATCCGCAGAGCCCGCTGTCTCCTCGCTAGCCATTGCTAAGGAAGGACGGGGCAGGTGGTGTTCACAGGTAAGGCACCTGTTCACCTCCAAACGGTGACAGAGCAGAGAAGGAGGAAGAGAAAGAGGACTCTAACTCCCCTTCAGCTGAGTTGTTGACAGTCTACAGGCACACAAAGCAAACCTCCCCATTCAAAATAGTTGCAGCGAAAGTAGGCACAAAAAAGCCGTTGTTAGCTGTTGACACTGCGGGATATGTCACCGCTTCACTCCACACTACTCCTCTTCTTCCCTGGTCCGTAACTTGATCCCACAAGGATAGATTAATGTTGTCAAAAGCCGTAAGGAAGTCTGCAGGTAACAAGAGGGGGGCAGGTGAAGCAGGGCTCGTCCTTAACCTGTTTTCCCCCCTTGTAGTCGGTCAAACAAGGATACGGTCACTTTAATACCTCCGTGCAGCAGTGGAAGTTGCTATTGAAACTGAGTCCAGACACTTGACAGGTAGCGCGTTTGGCAGAGGCTAAACACTCCCAAACTGGAAAAGGGGGGTGAGTCTGTCAGCAGCTCTGGTGGAAGTCGACAAAACACAGCTCGATCCTTCCCGGTTTAACTCCTCAGACTTGCTTAAATGTCAACGTTAACCCAGCTGCGCCGCATTCTCTTCCTGATTTACCCCAGTAGCTTCAGCTCGTCACCGCCATGACAGTGTAGCTCTTGAGTGAGCGGCGCATGCGCAGTACGGAGCTGAGTGTGTTCAGCTCATTGGCAGGTGTGCGGCTCAGGTGGCTTTACAGCACGACACGCTGGGACTCAGCTAAAATCTACACAGCTTCCAGATCTATTCTGTTTCAGCGACTCATATTTCATCATCCTGACCGGGATACAGAGGCAGTGGTGGAAAGAAACTCAATGCATTTACTCAATGTTCGACATACTTGAGTTTGACGTTCTGCTGCTTTGTACTCCACCTCATTCATACTTCTGTACCTACTACCTACCCGAGTAACATTTTTAATATTACATTTTTGAATTATATTTGTTACTGAGTACTTCTTTCTCCACTGATATTAACATTTAATGCCGATTTATTTATACTCCACTACATTTCAGATATAACATGTTTTACTGACCTACATTTTTCTCAGTGCTAGTTACTTTACATACTAAGAGTTAACATAATAATATCAATGGTTCAGTTACTCTGATCAATTGTTTTACACTTGTTTTATTTGTATAAGATAAATAGCTTCAATAATGTACTTGTGAAAATGATTAGTCATAGAAAAAAAGCATCTTACCCTAAGGGCAACGCATATCAAAAAAGGTACCTGTATTTTATTGCTTTAATATTCAGTAGCAGTCCTGCAATAAGGAACATAGCTTCTCATTGCACCTCTTGAGAAAACAGCGTGGTACGTTTTACCTATTACAAAACCTGGAGGCATCTGAAGAATGGCCGAAGAATAAAAACATATTTTCTGTATTTCATGTTTGTTTTTTTACCTATTGTCTATTGTAGATGTTTCTATTTTGTATTTGTCTCTTAACTTTTGAACTTCTTTTATTGTTATGCATCAACACAAATTCCTTTTATTTGCAAATCTAGGTTGCAATACAACTGTTAATGATTCTGAAAATAATCCTTAACCCATATAGTATTTATAAGACAATTCAGCAACTGTAGATAAGGATCAAACCTAAGAACATAACAGAGGAAAATAAATATCGTAAATAATAAATCCAAACATTACTGTACTATACTTTGAGCCCCTCAGCGAGTAACTTGTATCTCAAGATGGTCTATTTTGTTGAACAAGCACATAACACAGCCTTTTGCTTTGGAATAAAATAACAAACAGAACTTGGGGGATTGAAAAGCATTTAGAAGTTGTTTCGGCACAACAGCACATTGACAGGTGTCTCTTGAGGCAGTGAAAACCAAACATTAAAGCTTAGTGACAGGTGTGCTTTGCTTGCCATTTCAAATCATCACCAACAATGCATGCCACGTCAGATGTTTAAACAGCTGAAGACATGAGCAGTCACTGTATTATCCATACATTTTTGCATGAAGGAAATCCAATTAAAACACCATTTGTAAAGAAATTATCTGTAGTAAACAACTCCCTATATTGTGATGTGTTTGCCTTCTCCTTTCTCTGCTCATGCAGGTTACCTCATATTTTCTCTGCATCATGGATGAGCAACTATGAGTGTTGTTGCCATAGAGGCAGCTGGCATCACTGTTACCACTGACCTCCTCCCAGTAAAGTGTATCTGAGTCCCCAGGGACCTCGGGAGTCATGGAAGCCAACAGCAGCACCCGAGAGTCACAGGCCTTGTCTATGATGCACAGTAATGACCCGAAATAAGCAGACTTGTTCATTGCAGCCCAAAGGTAGACCTTCTTAAATAAAGCTTTGAAAGGCTTGTTCTGACCTTTGAATTGAACACTGACCATGTCCTATTATTTATCTGGGCTCTACAGCAATAATTTGACTCAAAGCCTGAGACATTCGGTGGTATATCAAAGTCTTACTGTAGTCATTTGCAGTCTTCCTGCCATTCTGTTTTAAAGTACGATGTGAACAGACGATGATATTTTCTGTTATTTTTTGTCAAAGACTGCAATTAAAGCACTGAGCACTAAGAGTTTTCTTTTGTCAGAGTAAATATTGCATTCAACACACTGAACACAGAGAACAGTACATTAATGAGGATTAGAGATTATTCCAAGACATCAGTTTAATATCGATGCTCGTTAAAACAAAACACCAGAACTTTATGATAAAATAAAAACTGTTAATGGGCGATAAAACAAGAGGACACACACAATTTGAGAAATGTTTTTGTTGCAGCAGCATAAAACAAAACAAGGCATTGCACATAATAACAAATTAAAAGAATAGAAATAAACAATTCTAAAATATAAATATCTCGAAATACAAATAGAAATAAACTATTATTTTTATTTAAATGACATTTGAAAACAAATATTGTATGCACAGACGTACTGCATTTATCCGACTATTGTTACTCTAAAGAATAAACACACACTATTCATGTTGTGAGTGTGCATGATTTTACTTTTTTACTTTGAATATATTTTACCAACAGACACATTCTTCCCTTTGTTACAATAACAGTTTGGGTGTATAACAAGCTGCACCCGCTTGACAAATGTACACACCTAGAGACTGGTTCAGCCTGTTCAGAGATCAGGATTGTGCCTTTTTATATTTTCATTTAAAGGGGACTTATTATACAAAATCCACTTTTTCATGTCTATAAATAAACATGTAAAGAGATTCTGAAAGTTTCAGGGAAAAAGACCCGCTCTCTTTTTGTCCTGATCCATTTATATAAAAACCTGTACATGTTAGACGCTTTTATCCAAAGCGACTTACATACTCAATACTGTGGGCAATCCCCACAGGAGCAATTTGGGGTTAAGTGTCTTGCCTAGGGACACAACGACATGCTGACTGCAGTGGGTTTGAATCTGTGACCCCCTGATACCACCACCAAGGCTCTATCCACTGCGCCACATGCCTCACACCTGAAACTCCTCCTAGAGCACCATTGTGTTCTTTTTAACCAAACATATCTCAGAGGGGCGTGGGGAGTAGCTCCTTATTTTCATCTAAAGTAACAGGGCTGAAACAGGGGATTATGGGACGCTGCAATGATCTGTTTGGTATTTCAACACTTCAGAGACATGTTTTGTATATATCTGAGACCTACAATATATTGATGAAAAACAGTATAATAGGAGACCTTTAAAACAGTTAAACCCAATATACAATATTAGATGTGTGAAGGCAAATGAAGGGTGTAACAATGTAATATGTATAGGTTGAAGATAATAATATTGACAATAATTGTGATATTTAATCACTTTTTGTTTTATTTTTTAAAATATTTTACAAACTTGAAGTACGCCTATGCGTCATAGAATTTCAGAAACTAAGAGACACGTTTTTTTTCTGGTCCTATATTAATCGATTCTTCAAAAACTGTTTAATAATATTATTTATCTGATATCCATGCATTTAAAAGTATATGAATAAACTGAATACAACTATACATTTCACAATGATATCTTCAGTTGCTATAACATTTAAAATAGCCACATGTATTTGCGTTCATGGACACCAACAAGTAAGTTATTTCCCCTTTACTTTATGAGGTTGATTCATTTTTGATAATTGTATGGTTATTTTATTGTTTTTATTGTTAAGTTAGGTTCAGCTTAATCTTTACCAATTATATAGTTTATAAACCCTTTTTATATCTTTCATATACATGTTCATCCAATTTGTTATTGTGAAGATTGCCTTTCTATTTAACTACACTTGTGAATTAAAAAAAAAACAATTACTTAATAAGGCCCCCGTTAATATCATTTGACCAGCAGAGGGCGCCAACAAAAACTACAAGTACTCGCGAGAGAAAACAAATCTCACGACCGGATTCGAGCTCTTTAAGTCTCGCGTTGTTACCGTCGTTCCTCCTCTTTCACTCCCTGTAGCCAACATGGCAGTCGGCAAGAATAAGAGACTGACCAAAGGAGGCAAAAAAGGTGCCAAAAAGAAGATGTAAGTAGCCCATTCTCACATCTTTACACTAAACATGCTTTGTACATTCACTGTAGTTAATTTGGTGAAAAAAATCTGAAGGATGAAGTAGATATTAGATGGATGTCACCGAGCCACTGTGCTAGTCTCGTCGTCACCGGCCTCTGTGGCTGGATAAGTTGAAACATGCTCTCTCCCTTGTAGTCGTCGCTTTGCTGTTCTGTTATAATTCAGTTGATTAAGTCAGACTTGTGTATTTCTTATGCGGGGCTAATTACATCTCACAGAGCTCTGTCAGTTTAGCCGTATAGCTGAGGTTTGTAGTGATATTTGCTAAAGGCTACTCCATGTTAGCATGGAATTAGCCGACCAATATTAGCTTACCTATCACCATGGCAGCTACACGCCAAATATTAAACGTTATTTCATTCGGATAATAATACTGCAGGAATTAACCGAGTGTCTTCGCGATATCACAACAACGTTAAGGGTATTGCCAACACTGGTGACCAAATTAAATGTAAGTAAATCCTCCACGGTGCTTACGAGAATAGTGTCCTTTGCCGTGCGTGCTTAGCCGCTAAGCTAACAGTGAGTGTGGCCTGAGCACTATTTCGTTTGTGACTTGTTAGTGGAAAATGGTTTGCTCTAAATACTTGTTTCTTCTCTCCTGCAGTGTTGACCCTTTCTCCAAGAAGGACTGGTATGATGTCAAGGCTCCTGCCATGTTCAACATCCGCAATCTTGGCAAGACCTTGGTCTCCAGGACTCAGGGAACCAGTAAGTCTATGTGCATTAACATGCTGCTGCCTCATACATTGCTGTCCCAGGCAATCTAAATAATTTACCAAATTGGGATCAATAAAATATCTATCTATATTTGGTTGCAGGATGCATGACACCAGTAATAATACATGCAAGATTTGTATAGACTTTAAATCATGTTTTAGGTATTTCTATTTTATTTCACTCCTACATATTCTCTTTTTTTAATTCTGTGTTTTTTGCCACCCCCCAGGAATCGCCTCAGATGGTCTTAAGGGACGTGTGTTCGAGGTGAGTCTCGCTGATCTTCAGAACGACGAGGTGGCCTTCCGCAAGTTCAAACTCATCACTGAGGATGTCCAGGGCAAGAACTGCCTCACCAACTTCCACGGCATGGACCTCACCCGTGACAAGATGTGCTCCATGGTCAAGAAATGGCAGGTAATGATCATGGGTTTTTATGAGAAGTACGGCATGGGCTTCGGAAAATGAATACCAAATGCATTTTTATTTCACCTATATTCCTCCTCGAATGCTTGAGATTCAATAACTGGCCCCGTTAAAGGTTAATCGTTTTATTTATGGTTTATTGTCAGGTCTTTATCATTTTAATAAAACGGACAAGGATACCTGCACCATGTGCTGATGTATGGATAATGGCTGAGGATGGACTCAAGGAGCTCACAATAAAATCAATACATCATTTTGGTTGCTCCTGAAAATGAGGAATGTATTTTCACATGCATTTTTCTTTATAACAATTTAAGATTTAGTGAACAAGAGGTAGCTAAAGTGTCACATGTAGACGAGGAATTCATATTTTGAGGAAAGCTGGGACATGTGTGCCATGCATTTGGTTATGACACAAGAACCAATACTTTGATACCAAGTCAATGCAAATATTTAAAGGACTACAGCAGGACCATTGGCGCTTGAGACTAAATGGTCTGGTTTGCGACAGAAATGTCAGATTACAATTGACCGGCTCTATTCAATAAAACTATTTGGAAAAAACTAAATGTAAACTACATTTTAAAATGAATATATTTTCACTCTTTTAAAATGAATATCAAATAGGTAATTTTAGCTTCTTGCTACCAAAACAGTATCCAAACTGTGGTAGTGTTTGAATTAGTTGGGATTAGAAGTTTATTTTGTAACCATGGTATCTGATAGGTATTCAGACTTGTGAACTTCTACTAGTATAAAATACTACTTCATTTCTGGTATTGTGACAATCGCAAATTGAAATGTGATAGCTGGAGACTGTTGGGGTAAACATGTTCCCTTTGAAGTGTACCAAGGATTGAATTTGTTTTTCCAGACCATGATCGAAGCTCACGTGGACGTGAAGACCACCGACGGTTACCTTCTGCGTCTGTTCTGCGTGGGTTTCACAAAGAAGCGCACCAACCAGATCAGAAAGACCTCCTACGCCCAGTCCCAGCAAGTCCGTCAGATCCGCAAGAAGATGATGGAGATCATGACCCGTGAGGTCCAGACCAACGACCTGAAGGAAGTCGTCAACAAAATGTAAGTCATGTGCAGTTTCTACATAGAGAAAGTCTTGATTTTAGCTGATAAGATTTATAGCTGTTCTCATATTGTCAAGAAAGTGTCATCTGTAATGGTATGTTTTTATTTTTACAAGATGTTTATGTATTTTGACAAGTTTCCTTGTGTTTTCTAAGACGAGCCATTTTATAGACTTAAGTCAAAATGTTTTGTTAGTTAATATTAAATATGTTGTGTATTTTGTTGTGTTGCAGGATCCCTGACAGCGTTGGTAAGGACATTGAGAAGGCTTGCCAGTCCATCTACCCCCTCCATGACGTCTACGTCCGCAAGGTCAAGATGCTCAAGAAGCCCAAGTTTGAGTGTAAGTTACACACAGCTTTAGCACTGGTTGTGCCTCTGGGTTTTCATTTTCCTCCACCTGTGTGAATGATGATGAAAAACTGTTTCGGTCCCAGATGATCTCCTGATTATACCCATTGAGATCACCTAATGTTCCCATACAAGGAAACCATGCCGTTTTCATTGATTGTATGCAAGAATGGACTTTGTTTGCATTGGTTGGACTGGTTTCCAGGTTATGGGGGTTCATTTAAAATCTTGAATGGGTTTGAGGCGTGAAACATCCTTCCAGCATCATTGCCGTTTCACTTCAAACATCCAGTTACATATACTGTTATCTTGTCTATTTTTATTAAAACGTTTTTTCTGTTGCAGTGGGCAAACTGATGGAACTCCACGGTGAGGGCGGTGCTAGTGGCGCTGTTAAGACCTCCGCTGACGACACAGGCGCCAAGGTGGACAGGGCCGATGGCTACGAGCCCCCTATCCAGGAGACAGTCTAAAACACCCTGACAGATTTAATAAAAAATGTAAATGACCAACATACTGTTGCTCTGTCTTGTGTTTTTGTTAATATTGTCAGAAAAAGGCGTTTTATAAAAATGTAATCCAATAGCCCTGCAAAAATGTAGTGTGACTTGGCATCTAGAATACCCCAAATTATGTTGTTCCTCCATCGGACGAAATATCCAGTGATTTGAGAACACATTAATGGAGCCTCAACCTAAAAGTCCTTGCTTGGCAACATGTATACTTAATGCAACCAAAGGGGTTATAAAAGTAACGTTGTGCACAGCCTGGCCTCTGAAATGACATTCGAAATCTTGTTTATGAAAAATAGTTTTCCCTTGAAGTGATCTGACCCTTTGAACATGATTCCATCCAATAACGTTCATACCACATGTTACACTTATTGTACGTGTAGTAACAACCCAGCAGTAAGAAAGACACCACTAGATAGTGCTAAAACAGTTGAATCCAAAAATCATCAGTCGGGTTAACTTGGTATATTTATTTATAACATGATAAAATTATTTAGTTAACACTTAATTTTAAGCCTAGGCAAGAGATTAAATACGGCATTTCAGTTGGACAGTTCAGACTTCAGCAGCTGGGAACATCAGTGTTCAGATCTCATTACAGTGTCTCCACATGGCACTATCCCAGAACTTGCAAATAGTTTTTAGGGGCCAGGGCCCGTTTTCCTCTCAAGTCACCCAGGAACCATTCGTCATCAACAGACTCCAGACCAGTTATAATATCCCCAGCCTGAGGAAGAAAAATAAGTGAGAGGTTATTCAAATTGTAAGCTTTGTACAGATATTTTTAACTGTTCTATTTATGTTAAAGTGCAAGTAAACAAAATCACTGTACCTGCAGAGAGAGTTCCTCATCACAGTCTGATGTGAAGTTAAAGAGAGCTCTGGCTCTACTAGCCCCACTCTGCTGGTTATTAGACGACTGTGGGCCTGTTGAAGAAAGCATATTATACATTAAATAATAATTGTATTTGTACCAGTTAGAGCAGAACTAGTTAGTAGATAAGGCTATTGACATAAAATCTGCAAATATTTTGACAACTGATGTATTGTTTAAGACTTTAGTACTTCAAGTACAATATTCAGTTCTAGCTGGGGAGTATGTGTTGCTTTGCTCCTTTCCCTATTAAATACTAAACTTAAGAATCTAGTCAGACCCAACACGTATAAAATCCTTGGAGGCACATTTTTGGGCCAAAATATTAATCTTGAAGTAATTTGGAGGGTAGATAATTAAAACAATAATTATTTGTTGAAGCTATACCAATACTATTGTTGTTTGTCAATGTGAAATGCTACAATACACCTTTATTTTTATAAAGATAAAATAAAAGTGGGTTTAATGATTTGAATGAATGTGTGACAAAATAGTTTACCATTTGTAATTATCATTGCTTTTTTTGTATTAACACCTAGATGCTTAGTTTAATATGAGCAACCAATAATAACTACTTGAGATAATAATGAATTTAAGTAAGTCATTTTGTCAAACCGATCCTGTGAGAGCCTCTTACCTGAGCTGCTCTCAACAAAAGCCCTGGGGAACATTCCCTCTCTGCCGTTGATCCGACCGCAGCTCCACTCAGCGTCAACGTGCGAACTGATCAGGATGCTGTCGCCCAGCTGAAACGACAGTTCTCCCTCTGTCTTCCCGTCAAAGTCGTACAGAGCCACGACCCACTCCTCACCAGGCTGAGACACCTGCAGAGGGAGCAGGACAAGAGAAGAGATTATATATGTCTATAAGAGATCTCAATATTTAACTGGGACGAACATTAATCTCAGATTCTTGGTTTTGCACTGGGTTTCAAAAACCAACATCATCCTCTTTGATGTTTCCGTTTATATAAATATGTGTTACCTGAGCAGGTTTGGCAACGTCAAGGTGCTTACTCGGAGAAGCAGCCATGCCTGTTGAAGAACATGGCGTATAGGTTACTAATAGTAAAACAAATATACCATTCAATCAGGGAACGCCATTTTAAAACAGAAGAAATCTGTGTGCACACTTTGAGATAGTTAACGGCCTGGTTTCAGCCCTTTATGCATGAGTGGGTCGAGACCTTTGGTAAACAGCTATTTAATGAAATAGAAACAAGCACAAATTCCTGACATGCCACAAGCTAACATAAAGCAAAAATAATGGATTAAGGCTCTTCATTGATAAAAATAGCTCATTTTATTTAAGGATGAAGAGGATAACAAGCTGGTGAAGTGTAGAAATTCCCATTTCACGACTCACAAGTGTGTTGTATTATTTAAACTTACTGCTGGTAGTCAAATCAGAACACAGTGAAAATAATTAATTGATTCTCACCAGGCAGTGCTATCCTGATAGACTGTCTCTTCTGCTGACTCGGGGGTGGAGGCAGATCTTCAACGACCTCTACAAAGTTCAGAGGGAAGACACCAGTCGTGATGCCAATCTGTCCCCGAGCCCAGTCCTCTCCAAGGTACGCCTTCAGCTGGATCACATCCCCCTCAGAGAACGACAGCTCTTGGCCACTCTCCCCCTCAAAGTCGAACCTCGCCACACATCTTGGACCACTTTAAAGTAGGCAACATTTCATATGTCAGGTTAGTTAATCAGGGTAATTTGTGCAAACCATTTATAAGGTATGTCCCAACAATTCAGGTCAGATTTTCCACTGCCATGATTTTTAAAGTTCCTTGAGTGTCCCACAAAAAACAACAACGATTAAAGCTTTATATTGTCCTTAATTATCGAACATTAGAACGGTTATGTTTAGACAGTACCTGACTGTTGCAGATGGTTGCCGTGCTTTCCGTTCTGGTTGGGGTTTTGGTGAATTTGACTATTTTGAGAAATGGTAATAACGTGTTTTAATTCAGGAAATCCTTTACTATTGTAAACATCTCTAAATTACAAGCCTTGTTGTTACCAAAGATGATAATAATTATGGATTTCAATGGTTACAACTTACCAGTATATTTACATAATTGGCTGGAAAGAAACCAGTAGATCCCCTACAAGTGCCTCTGTACCAATCATTGTCCACCATCTCCACGTTGGTCACAACATCTCCGGATCTCAGACCTAGCTCTCCTGGACCCTCTGTGTGTGCAGAAGAAACACCTGTTTATGGCCTCCGAACACAAAATCTGAACGGCTCAAATCTTCCTGGATAATTTTCAGTTAGCTTGTATCTATATTCATAAATACACATTCATAGTAGTTTATAATTAAAGTTTGACGTTTTGAAAAATACTTTTTTATATATTCTATAAATGCATTATGAATCTGGAGTTAGAATTGCTGTTAGCCTAGCCTAGCATGATGTGTAGTAGGGAGAAACAGCACACCTGGCTCTCTCAATTGCAATAAATATCATAAATCTTTATTTTAGGTTTCTGCTCATGAATTAACTACAAAAAATTAAGTAAATGTTAATTATGAGCTTTGGAAGTGTTATCAGACAGCCCTTTCCTTTTGCTTTTAGTCTTCTGCTAATCATTAAGCTAATGGACTCTTGGCACTAGCATAAAGAAGGTGCTTTCAGGCTTTTGCTCCATAAATAGACAACACATTGACATGGGGGATATCAATCTTTTGATTTCACTTTTGGCAACAAAGCCCAGAAGTGTATTTTACAAAAATATTAAACTGTTTGCAATATGTTGTATAGTGTTATTGTCCTATGTTAGCATGTAGCAGCTACAATAAAAGATGTGTCACCTGGAGTGAAGTCATGTTTGGCCTGCACTTTAAGCTCATAACCAGCTCCACCTGGACCAGCTGGACTGGCAGCCTATAGCAAGACAGCAAAGAGAGGTACAGGTCAATGTATCAGAGTCACTGAGCAAGACAGTCTCAAGTATTAGACATGCATTTACTCATAAATGAATAACAAGGTACCTGTGGTTGGGATGTGTGTGAGACAGAGGAAAGAGGAGTTATGACCTTCATGCAAGACTTGTGCACTCTGCCTTTAGTTCCTCCAACTTGGCACTCAAACATATTGTGATCAATCTCCTCCAGCAGCAGAAGCACTTCATGTTTCTATTGAAAAGGACAACAAAGGTATTCAATGTTACTGAATTAACCAGGAACAAGCCACTTTAGGTTAATTTGCACAAACCAATGTGCAAAACAGTAAAAGTATTTAGATACCTGAAATGAGAGTTCTCCTGTATTACTCCCATTGAAGTCAGTATCAGCAACACCATGAGGAAGTTCAAGCTGTTGAACGAAATCAAAAGGTAAACATGTGCTCATCAAGTGGTAATTTAAACTTGATGATTTGTGCAGTGGGAGTTCTCTCACTGTGTATTTGTTGTATAGACGGTGGCCTGGGTTGGGCCTTGGAGGTAATACAGGTCCCTTCCTCTGGGGCGTCTGGGCCTGGGGTTTAGGTGAAGCCTCCAATGATGCTGAATGGGATCGACCTGTGGCCTGAAGGCTGGGAGGGGGAGGTCTCCCTGGGCCTAATTTGGCTGGAGGTGGGCGAGTTGGGAGGGTTTTGCTTGAAGTCAGCCTCCTGGAGAGCACCGTTAGTACAACACAATCGTCAAGTTTTTTTGTTTTAGTTTAAAATGAATTGTTATTAAGTTATATATTTTTTTCACAAAGCTGCCTTAACAAGAATAATTAAATAAAAAGAAAAACATATAAAAAAAAGTTTAATGAATAAACAAGAAAAAAAAGTTGTAGGCTACATTTATTTTTAATTATATATTTTTTTATAATAAAGCAGTCGATTATTTGAGTTTTACTGTTATGTTACATGTTCTCCATTTACTCACCGAGGTGGTAGTGATGGATCTGGCCCAACATGTAAAGACCCCTGCAGAAGAATTCAATTGTGCATTTTAATCGCCACTAATGGCGCGTTTCCACTGCAGCGGGGTAGCCCCGTTTAAGCGTCCCTAAATCACAGCCTTCAGCACTGGAAACCATAGAAACCAGGCTACAACACATAGCATTCAACCACAGCTAGCTTCGGCTCAACAGCAGGAAATGTGTCCATGCTGCAATAGTTTCTTTTGTTTGTTTGTTTCTTTTGTTTGTAATGAAGCAGCTAAACTGCACAGCTGATAGACAAGACAAACCGGATTGAGGGACACTTCAAGGAATCAAAATGTGCCACGTCTTAGATTATGATAGATATATACAAATAGTACAACACCTTTTAATATGACTATGACAAGGATACAGAACAAGAAATCATACGTTTTGTGGAAACCTTTAACTCTTTAAGGTGTTTATGATGCACAAACATGTATAGATGTATTTCTATTTAACATATTACCTTATTATCTTAAATGATGCTTCTTTTCAGTGACCATGAATGCTAATCGAGCTTAAGTGGGATGCCATTCTTACCTGGCGTAGTAGGGGGGGCTGGCTTTGTCTGTGGTTCACTGAGGTGTTTAGAGAGCCTACGGGCTTCTGAGCAGGAAGAGGAGGAGGACTGTCCTGAAAGTTATCCGACACTGAAGAGAAGAGATCTGACTTTACCAAAATATATTGAAAACGTGTGCTCCAAGTGTTATTGAAATACAAACATAAGTAGCGATGGAAAATATCAACTATAAATCATTGTGTTTTGATTTCATGAAATACTGCTAATACCAAAATGCAAATGTCATTTAATAAGCCATCTTATTTTGACAGTTATTATGTTTGCTGTACTGCACATAAGAGGGTCTCACATGAACCCGTTTTGCTGGGGACCCTGATGGTGGTTGGTCTCCGTGTGACACTTGGTTTGGCAAAAGAGCCTCCATTGCTGTCCACAGTACTTTGAGGCTTGACTGGGCGATCTGAACAAAGAGACACCTGAGTATACATATTTTTTATACCACTCACTGACCAAAATGTAGATGCTCAGGAGCAATAGAATTAAAGAAATTGTTTGAAATTAGGTAAGATTATCTCATCCAATTAGTCTATCAAAGGGAAGAAAATAAGCATTTCCAAAATTGTTGGATGTTCCCAACATTTGCTTGTTATATACATTTCTAATTTCTTGAGAGTGGTGGTTTTTTAACACTCAGAAAGGCCAGGTAATGGTTTAATCAAATAAAACATATTTTTTACACATTTGAACTTACACAAGATCTTCTGTGTGTAAGCGTCTGTATTTTCTTAGTCAGTTATTTGCAATGACCACTGTGTTTAGATTTAGGCTATTGTTGTGATAAAACACATGATTAAATCAACAAATCAATAGATACATGTCTAATAAAAGTATTCAATGGATATACATTTGTCTAACATAATATACATCTTATGATAATAAAATGCTACTCACTTGTTGGGGTGTCAATATACACGTTCTCTGTGACCAGGTCGGCAGAGTTGTGGTTGTTGATGTTAAGATTGGGTTTCAGAGGCTCCTTAAAAGGCTTTACTGGAGGAGTCGGGGGAACTTTTGGAGAGTCCTCTTCAAAGAAGCTGTTGGCTCTGGTCAACACAGACGGACGTGAACTTTTCAAGGCGGACTTGCTGAGTAAAGTCTCTAGTTCCTCTTTTAAAGCTAGATCTGCTGGTTTCTTAGGGGGCTGAGGTCTGGGGGATGGTGTTGGGATTTGGGGGATAGTTGATAGGTTTTGATAGTCATTGACTAGTGGCTCACTGTGGCTCAACTGAGGTTTGAGAGTCACAGAAGGTTTAGCAGCAACTGGAGGTTTGGTGCTCGCCCTCCGGGTAGAGGTGATAATTTGGCTGGTTCATTTCCCTCCTCTGAAGGGGTCTCAAAGGCCTGGATCCTGGCACGGATATTGCGTTGACTGTGGTTGTTGTTCATCTCGCTACCAGCATCCTCACCTTGTATCTCCTCGTCTGATTGGTTATCAATGTCACAGCTCTCCTCACACTCCGCAAAGACCTCCAATAACTCCTTTAGATACTTATTAGAAGAGACCACTTCTGCATCAGAGTAAATGTTGTCACAATGTTCACTGATCTTGACCAAAGTCTGAACTTTGACCTCCTGATTTCTGGGTTTTGTACGAGGAAGTGGAACGGGGCGTTTTGTGAGTTCTGAGTCTGAATGTGAAGCAGTTCCAGCATTGGCAGAGAGATGTGTTGTAGGATTATCCCAGTGAACAGTGACTGATCTGCTGCAGGTGTGAGCCTCGTTTGGCTGCTTTACATCTGACTCACTTTGGTCCTCAGTGATTGTTGATACTGCAGTATTGATTCCAGTCTTCTCATCGGCGGGTGTAACACTTTCAGGGAGTGATTCTCTGCCCACTGGTTTCGGTAGTGATGGCCTTGGTGGCTTTTGTGGCTTTTTACCTGGAAGGAAATGTAATAGTTATTAAAAAATCATAAATATATAAAAAAGTTTTTCATTTGATGACAAAGAAAAATGTTTCATTTAGGGATGGATGATATTTCATTTTTCCCAACTATATTTACCTAATGCTGATATACGCACGTTATTTTGTTGTCTAATTGCAGTTTAGTGGAAAATTCAATTCCCAATTAAACATATAATCATGCTTGTTATTTTGATGGCCCACTGGCAGATATTTCAGTTTAGGTTGCATATAACACATGCAATATCTAATGTAACATATTGGACTGTTACATCAGAGGAAATGTTAATTTCTGGCCGATGTTGATATTTGATTTTTAAGACTTTATCTGCAACAAAATTATGTTCAAAAGACTATGAAAGAATTTCATGTGGAATATAAATAAACTGAAACCAATAGATTGGTAGTCATTTAGCTTTTCCATCATCATCGATGTTTCTCCTACACCTCACCTGTGGATCTTTTCCCTGCTGACTTTGCAGCAGCACTGGAGGTCTCTTTCCTCACAGGTTCAGTCTGCGTGGCACTTGAGGAGGTGCAGGTGGTCCGGCGGGGGGCTGCAGTGGGCTTGAAAATGTGCTCCTCCTGCGTCTTCTCTTGAATCACCTGGTCATAGGACGGTGGGGGCTGAGTCATGAAAAAGAGAGATGTTCACACACTCACTTGAATTATCTTCCACTATGGCATATTTGAGTATGCTACCTGATGAGTGCAATAGGATGATTTAGTTGCAATATATTATAATGTACTCTACACACAATTATGACATTTTATCAAGGTTTTTAAGATTGTAAATGTCTCATTCTCCTACTTTTGGCCAATACATTTTCTGGGAAGAAGAACTTTGAAACTCTGACTTAAGCTCTGCTAAGAACTACTGCACAAGGCCTACCTGGGGGGCCGCCTGCAGGCCGGGGGACCAGCCGGACTGAGGAGGACGAGGGAAGAGTCCAGATGTTCCTGAGAACCAGTCGTTACTGGCCAGAGGTTCTGCTGAGACGATGGTGATCTCTGGGCGCCTGAAATACAAACCAAACAAAATTAACCAAAATACACAACTCTAAATGCATCCCAGAGATGAATAATTTATCATTGAACTGGATAGATTTCTTTGACCAGCAAACTATGTGCAATGTTCTTGTAACGCAACATGCATATGCAACATAATTGAGAAGCAACATGTCTGCACCATAGTGAAACTTCATCAGCGATTATAAAGTTCTCAATTCTGGACTTTTTGTTTGAAATACCTTCTTTCTCTGGTGGGATCACTCTGAGAGGTGGTTCTTGCTGGGAGGGAAGGAGGAAGAAAGATCATATACATGATTTGTTATAGCTTTCCCTGCTTTTTTCAACACATATGTAACATCTAAAATTAAAAATATTTTACAAAAAACTTCAGAGACATTAAGGGTTCACTTGCATTTGTCAAACATGTGAACAACTGAATTTTGTGATCACTTCTCTGAGGGAAAACAATACCAACTTTCTTATTTAAATCATGGTATCATTTAAAAAAAGTGTGGTCAAGCAATTTAGTAAGGTTATCTCAAAATGTCAGTGAAGGGCAGTTTGTCTAACTTACTTCGTTTGATAGCAGCTCGTATAGAAGACAGAGGCCCTTGGCTGAAAGAGAGTAGAACAGGAAGCACATTTATCATTAAGGTGTGGGGCCACACAAACGAGAGCAGTATCATACCTTTGTGGTGACTAATTTGATGAAAGGAAATCTTTTCACGTTCCCCTGAGCTGACTTTATACTGTTGTTGAAAAAATAAGTAAAATATTTCAATTCTATTTTTCTAACTAGCAAATCAATTCTAAAAAGTCGACATATTCATCACAGGATACAGTTAGGCACACTACATAGTGCCATTTAGTTTTCAGTCTGGGACCGATAAATGCCAACTGAGAAACATACAGTTAAAGTGACACGTGAATAGATGCAGATGGAATGAAGAGAAAGAAATAGGGCAGTTAAAAAGTTAATGTTAATAGAAATTGAAAGTGTTAAAATGTTAAAGGTGTAAACAAATGAACAATATACAGTAGAGATTATAGCTTAATCTATGCAGAAGGAGCTCAAAGCCTTCAAATAAAACTCTAAATCAGGTAAATTATTGCTCACTCTTTTATCTATTCATATATTCATTTATGTCACAAAAGAAGAACATTGGTCAAAATGCTGCTCATGTGCTCAGTGGAAATCCACTTACCTTAAAAAACATGGTGCCCAGTAAAGGATACCACTTCCAGGTAAACACTACTCTACACGAGACCTCTCCACACAGCCAATGATGTTTGTCACAGTTTCATATCCTCAGGCTGTTAAGCCCTCAATGAGTAAAGAGTATTTTCTAATCCTGAAATGGCATCGCTTCACACCAGCTACTTTGTAATATAGGGATCCCATGTCTTTGAGCTTTTAAAGTGAAGAGATGAAACTGTTGTGATACTCCGAGCTGACAGTCTCTTTACCAAAGCTGAATTCTCTTGACAGTGGAGGCAGGCGCATCATTACCGCACAGTGCTCATTAAGGACCACTGCAGGAAACTGATGTCAACTATCTGGGGGAAAACATACAATGCTCACCCTCAGCTCTATAACACATGGTTCATTTAATAAAATAGCAAAACTGTCAACAACAGGATCTTAAATGACTAATCTCGAATAATTACATTGAAGTAAATGTCTGTTAAATCACAAGATATCACCAGATAAGATTTGACAATGCTAAAGGAGCCCTTGCCTTTGCATTGTTATGAACGGGGTGACTAAGGCGATATTCATCACAAATCAAAAGCAATGATCTCTGGGAAGCAAGTTCCAAAATCATCCTTTCAATTAATGCTTGTCACTGCTATACATAACAATAAGGTGATATTTAGGTATATTACTTTGATGTGATCATAAACTATGCTTTTTAATTATTTGTCATTAGGCCTCAAGAGCCAGTGAGGAGGGTTTACTATCATACATGTCTGTAATAACGTAACCTAAATAAAAAAAGGCAGCACAAAGTGTTTGTCCCAACGGTGACCCCCTGTGAGTCAGTGAGGATAGATTAGTGTTTTGTTTAGTCCATTCACAACCTCCCCAGCATCAGCAGATCTGACTGTTGAAGAGACAGTGCTCTGTTTCCGTCAACAGATCTATACTGATTGGTGAAACTAGTGGATCCACAACTCAAAATAAACACCAAGGCTGAGAAATATGACATACCTTGAATGTAAATGATCTGGTTTGGTTCTTTCAGGATGATCTGAAGAAGAAAACAGAAAGGATTTTAAAGTGATGTGTAGCAAGAAAAAGTAAGAAAGAAAATGTTATCTTTCATAAGCAACATAGTTTCAGTCATTGTAACATCTAAATACTACTTGCCTGCTACCATTTACAGTCTGGAGCTTATTAACTAGAAATTCAAGAAGCATAACTTCACCAGTAGGATCAGCAATTACATCTAGATGAACCAGTTATTCTAAAGCATCGGTGCCCAAACCTTTCCCCTAGAGGACCAACACTGAAACTCAGTGCAGGGCAACCGGCCAAGACCAAACACTTCTTAGGCCTATATTTTATTCAATTGTTTAGTCTCAATTTATTTAATTAAAATACCTTTTGTCCAGATGTCACTGTCTCCCTGCTTTTTTTCTTGACTCATTTGTGTCAAACCGACTTCCTGTGCAAAGTGTCTCTCTGCCTGCCGAGCTCAGATTATGAAAAGTTATTAATAATTGAGGATCCTACGTAGTTCAAATGCAAAAATAAAGCAGAAATATTGACTTAAAGTGCAATTTAATTGAAAATGTTTGTTAGAAACATCTGGCGGGCCAAGTTGAACAGACCCGTACTTTAGGCAACCCTGGTCTAAAGTTACACATTTAAATTGAACAAGAAATTAAGAGCATGTTGTCATGATTAGCATTACTATACATTCCCTTATGTTTACATTTCCTCCATTTACATTAAATATCTTCTATCACACTTAATACAGTAGAATAATCCATATTCTTACCAGATAGTACACAACAACAAACAGGTGTACACAACTATTGAACATTGAGCATAACTTCACAAAACTGCATTCTGCATAAACAGGATACTGTGTTGTGTCAATGTGACTATAACAATAATGCCGGCATGAGGGCAGCTGAAATTATAGACATTATATGGAAAGTCAGTATTGAAAAGAGATATTTATACAGATTTTCAGAATGTTAAACCGGGCTAAAGTGAAACTAGCTTTCCCGCGTGCTGCGGCAGAAACACACAACACACTTAGTTATATTATTTCCTGTATCTTTATGGCCGTTACCTATCATTCATGTCTAACTCAAACACCCAGTGGTAAAGAAGCAAACCCAGTCCATTGGTTAACAGCTATACAGTAGGATAAGAACAAATATCAGTGCAAACAATGTTATCTCAAGGCTTTGTTTGTCATTGTATTTTTGTGTAAACAAAAAAAGAAGGCAGTGGTTGAAGTCTGCATTGTTGTTAATGCCTTGAGTCTGAAACCATGACCTCGTTGGCAGACAAATGCACCTGTCACACCTGTCAGTTGTTATCTGTGAGTGCCACATTGCTACTGCCTCAAGTTACACTTTAACAACATGTGAGAACAGTTTCTGTACTGTCTCTTAATGACAAAATGTGTTTTAGCAACTGGCAGGCAAAGGATTAAGCTCCGTTCCTACCACTTCCCCACCATTTCCCTATAAATATGCAGTCTATTTACATGAAACAACAGTCTAGGTAACTTTACTGTCACGTATGCATGTGATCTGCTGCTGTCCTCTCTTGTGATACTAAGTAGTGTTCCTACCTGTGAGGAATTACAGGTATAAATACAAAATCTTCAGCATCCAAGAAATAAATCCACCAGGATCCTCGTCTAATCGTGACGAACAGGTTGACTGCAGCCGTCACACACCCACCGACAGCAGAGAGGAGAAGGAGGTTCCTGTGATATCTCAGCTCTGTGTTCACCTGGCCAATCTCCTCAACTGGAATGTGGTCATTCAGGAAGTGCAGCCTGTGCCACACAACAAAGCACCGTCACTGTCAACTGCAACTGGTTTACCTCCACTAACGTCGCAAAGTCACAGCCTGGAAAATCATTTGAATAAAACCGAAACTTATTTAGTTTACAAATTGAAAAATATTTTTATTTAAGTGCACCTGCCTCCTGGAACAAATTACAGCACCACTACCAATCAATTGACTCATATTCTTGGGCATTCAAGAAACTTGTAATTGTTTTAACATAACTGTATTTTATTCAACATTCTATTCATACTAATTTACCTTTTTTATGTTTTCCTTTTGTTAGAAAACGAATTATTTTATAATGGTTTAACATTTTTTCTTTTAGTTTTTTCTCAGTTTTAGAATTGTGTTAATATGATCTCTCAAGTTCAAATAAAGGTTGAATAAATAGTTACAACAATACTTAGGAACTGCACAATTAAGATACTGAAGTTAATAAAGTAGAAAACCGGGTAAAAAGAAAAGTCTAAATACATGACCCATAACAAAAACTACAAAGTAGGAGGAAACAAAATAATGATAACAGAAAAAGATTTAGTCCAGATTTTATCTTGTGGGAAAAATTGTTTTCTGCACCTCATTTAATGACACTACATCATGTAGTTGCCGAGATATTTTGATCAGAATGAAAGTACTTGAAACCAACAAACCATACCACTGACGGCCCATCAAACGAACCCCCCTGACCCCCTGTGTAAACGGTGCACCTGTTAAATTGTCTTATATAAATAGCTATTTACTTTTTGCCTATAATTTACCATCTAAGCTCTTATTCATCCATAAAACATTCATCTGAGAGCAATACATTTAAGAAAGAAAACCTGTCAGATTACTTGACCAATCCCCTGAACAACTTATAAAGTTTTTGGTTTAATTTCTAAACATCATACATCCCTTGGTATGTGTGTGCAAGTGACACATGAAAGGACAGCACACACACACACACACACACACACACACACACACACACACACACACACACACACACACACACACACACACACACACACACACACACACACACACACACACACACACACCACACACACACACACACACACACACACACACACACACACACACACACACACACACACACACACACACACACACACACACACACACACACACAGGAGAAAGCTGCTGAGGTCAGCAGGACTGGATTCCCCTCACTCACAGCCACTCTCTCTGAACACATGCGGACATTACTCTGCACAGCAGCAGCAGTCAGAGCAGCTGGGGAGGCTGCTCCAACAAAGGGAGTGGAAGGAAAAACAATCTGAGTCTGAGGGTCTTCAAAGTTCATACCCTAGCAAGGAAGATATAGACCAATAAGGCAATTTCTTTGCCTTTATTGGACTTTATCTGTAATGGCTTTTTCCAACATGCATGGGCAAGTTTGCTGATTCAACCAGACTAACAGGGTTGTTATTGAAAGATGATTAATCATTGGTGGAATGTAACTGATCATCTTTACTTAAGTGCTGTGCTTAAATACAGTTTTGAAATACTTTTTTGTGTTATGCTACTTCATTCTACTTCACTACATCTCACAGGGAACGGTTCTACTTTACTCCACTAGTTATTATCCACTTACGTTGTAGACATACAAACATGATATTCTTATATATGATGGAGTACTATAATATACATTGTATACTCAGTATTTAAAAGTGGCTACACATCGACTAACTACCTTTAAATGCTTGTATATTCATTTGTTAGAGGTAAAATAGAATGATACAGTATTCTGTAATAAGATAACATTTTGAAAGGAGACATTCTGCTAGATGCGCATGTTTACTTTTGATACTATAAGTTCATGTTGCTGATAATACTTCTGTACCTTTACTTACTTAAGTAACATTATGAATTCAGTGTTTTGATTTGTAATCAAGTATTTTTAGACAAAGTTATTAGTACTTTAACTTAAGTATACTTCTTTCACCATTGTCATGACTAGAAAAACAAGATGGTGTCATGAGTGACTTCAGCCAGAGAAGATTAAATGGTGCCAATACAGACAGGTGATTCACAGTGGAAACTACCAGAAATGGTGTCTGACTAAATAATGAAGGCCACAGGTGTCGAAACATATCGTATTAAATAATTGTTCTGAAAGAACGGAAAACTACATCAAGTACAGACAAGAACAGATTGTTCATGATGCAGCAGCCTGACATTCCCATCCAGACAGCTGGTGGGGGTCAGGGTGTGGCTGGGTGGGGTGAGTCTGAGATCAAACACTGGCTGCAGATATCTGGGCAGGACCGGGCAACGGGTGGTTGGAAAAATAAGTATTCACACACTAGTGGAGGAGATAATGGGTGCATTTCTGACTTAGACCTAAGACACTTTCAGTACTTGAATGTGATGCAGCTGAATGAAAATTAAAGCCTGTTAGTTCAATAAATCACAGGCTGAATACTGACTCAACCAATCTGTAAAAACTATGAGGAACAAAAGGGAAATTTCCTCTAAGTGACACATATTGCTATGAGGTACATGTATGCAGGCCAAAGGGAGGAAAGGTGAATGATGTTACTGTAATATGGAGACATACAGGTTTTCAGTTCTGTTGCTAGGGCCAATTACTCCAAACACTTGCAGACACACATAATTATTTTATTGACAAATCCATCAGTGGTTGATTTAATGACACTTTTACTTCATGGAGATTACAGGGATAATGTGACACAAGATAATTAAATGTACCATTATGTCATGGCAAGTTGTCTTAAATGTTACAAAACACATACATGTTTAGTCTAGGAGACCACCAGAACTTGACAACCAGCCTTACTGCTTTATACATAACATGTTTGTGTCTCATAGCAACTGAAAGACTACCAGATGCATCAGAATGCAGCTATTAACGTACTAGTATTGATATTTAAAGTTGAAGATATTTTAAAGCATGTTGATGATCAATACTGAATATTCACCCAGTGTGTATCATTCCATAATAAACACATTTTTAAAAGGTACATATGCCTATTTGTCTACAATCCATGACAGTACATGAATGGAGAAGTTAAAGGGTATGCCTGAGTTTTTGTTTCTAGCACTTCATCTACAAGTGAAGCAGACTTGTCTTTATCCAGTAGGTCTTTATGCTATGTATTCAAATCAATGTTTGTTTTGCTTGTTTTTTATTGTTCCAGACCTCAATTGGTTTCGATTCATTTCTATGAAACAATCAAATCAAATCAGACTCTTGATATTACATTACCACACAACAATAACGTGACTTTGACAAAAAAATAAATGCAAACTTGAGTTTCTATATGGTTGGTTACAAACTAAGTTTCAAGAGTGTTCTAATTGATTTTAATTGATAAATAAAAAACGTGGATGCCATGGGATGGTAGGAAATAACACCTACGTTTGTTAAATTAGATGACATGTGAAGTAAAAAGGTGATTAATTTCGGATAGCGAGAAAAAACACTGGCATGTTCTTTAAAAAAAACATTAAACTCGGTTTAGAAAAAATCACAAAACGTATTGAATGTGTAACTTCGCTTAAAAGTCTAAATCACATGTTCGACAACACATTATGATCTGACAACATGTTTTAATAACAAAGTCACCGTTAGATGATTCAGGAAACAGATTTGATGTCAGCCTGTTAACATTCCCAAACAAACATACCTGTTGCCTGGCTCCGGACGTCGCCCTCTGCCTCACCCCGGACTTCAGCCATCGATAAAGGTCGGTATAAAACAAGAGCTACTTTCCAGGACTACTTTATTATAATGTGGCGGTGTTCGTCCCCACGGTCGGTGTATGTGTCAGTGTCCTGACCACTGGAGGTGTCGGTGTCCTGCCCACAGCAGCTCTCTGCCCGCAGTGGGTGGAGGTGGTGCCGCTCACCGCCAGGACCCCCACGCACACTCATGCGTGGGACTGTACAGTGAAAGTAGGATTAATTAACCCTCTAAAAAGGGAGGACATGGGACAATTTAACACCTCAAAAACAGGTTTATATTTGTTTTATTTTGTAATGTACGACCTTAGGATAATTGTCTAGCAGGGAGTTAATAGGCTATCTGATTTTTGTGTACATTTGTATAAAATGTGAAAACTAATAAATAAAGTCGATATCATTCTGTATAAGATTTATTTGGTTATTGTGTCTATCATTATGTATTATTGATATTTAAGTTTGACTTTATTTATTACAAACAACCCATTGAGATGGATTATCACAACATAAGAAAATCGGACAAACACATTTGATAAATAGAACAACAACATTATTAGATAATAGCCTACGTGTGAAATTTATATTTTAAGTCAAGTTCAGTCGGCTATATTCTTCAATCAGTGGGTGTGTAATATAAATAGCTACTCTGAATAGATGGAGAAACATTGTGGGAACATTTGCAATTTTAGTGTTCTTCCACTAGATGTCACTACAGAACCTTACAGACAGCCACACACCTTTAAGTTAATAATATATGTTTAAAGGTCACCTATTATGCAAAATTGACTTTTACATGTATTGTATACATAAGTATGTGTCCCCTCTGTGTAAAGAGATTCCGAAAGTTTCAGGAAAAAAAATATTCTCTCTCTTTTTGTCCTGATCCATCAATATAAAATCCTGTCTGAAAATGAGCTGATCAGATTTTGGCCACTTAATGATGTCATAACGCTTTTTTGGGTTGTGTAACCATTAGCCAATAACCCAACCAAGGTACTCCCCCCCACCGTATCACCTGAATCTCCTCCTAGAGCACCATTGTGTTTTAATCAAATATCTCGAGGGGCGTGGGGAGCGGCACCTTATTTTCATCTAAAGTAACAGACCCGAGCATCATCATTTTGAAACAGGAGGAGTCTGTCAATTTCTGGATTAACTGGAGATCATTTTATCCTATCGTAAAAAAGAGATTAATTGTGTAGCCTATATTTCTTTGTTTGTTTTTCAAACAAAAGTTGCATAATTTGTCACATGGATTTTATTAATGCAATCCTTGTACCTCACGTTTTTGTCCAATAGATGGAGACATACTGTGAAGATCGATGTCAAATCTGAATTATTTTTCTGTCTTGACAAAAGTATTCAATATAATGTCTCTTTTACTATCTAATCCGTATGATCTGGCTAATAATAAATAAGATTCTACAGCCCTCAAATAGTTATGGCTTTTGAGAAACTGGATCCTGGGAAGTATTCTTTACTCATCTTTCTTTCTTTACTCAAGTAGCCTAATGTGGATTAACCAACGTTTGAAAATAACAAACATTGCTTTATATGGTGATTTTACACATGGCTAGGAACCATTTATAATTCATTTCTCATGGAGAAAACTAACCCATAAGAAACGCTCCTCTGTATGTGGACCAGTTGTAGCTCAGTGGGAGGAGCTCTGTGAGGATTAGTGCGGCTTCACCTATATGTGTGTATGTGTGTGTGCCGCGGACCAGGTTAAGTAGCTTGGTTACACGTATAATACCACTGCGTCCGGTTATGAAACAGGGAAATTAAGGAGCTGTGACCAGGAGGAACTCGGTTTTTTTTGTATTTCTGAGAGGACATACCGAGTGTGTGTTTGCGGATAAACCTGCTTTTCGACGCGGCTCACACTGCTGTGTTATTACCGTCCGACCGGAGGACTGACCTACGGTAAGACATAAAGAAAGAAAGCCGAAGCACAACTCTTAAATCTGGTTTACAGCTTGTTAGCTTTTTCTCACCTGTTAAAATGTAACATGACAGTGGCATTTCTGCTGTTGTTGGACCATGTGTGTTTTCTTTGACAGTTGTGTGTGATTGACATGTGCGGGTGGGAGGAAGGGTTGGGTTTCTTTAAGGGGAACCAGATGTCTGTGAGGGGTTTACTGTGGGAACTACCAGTACAAAAAATAATAGATTATTCGTTTTTTTGCATCCTAGTAAGGTAAAATAAGTTAAAAAGTAAACTCCACCGTGTTTCGTCACTGTTGTGTCCTCACCATATAGACAAAGTAGACCCACCCAATCTCTAATCATAGCCCAGCATTTCTGCAACCTTAGTCCCACCCTGCTTAATAACATGTTCTTAAATGTATCTGGTTTCATAATATTGCAGAAACTTGCAGTGCGTCCAAAAACATTGTATCCACGTGTTGTTGTTGTGATCCCCCTGGCAAAGTGTTACACTGAGAGAGGATCCTACCTGTCCTGATTCACCTTTCAGGCTCCTGATGAGCTTTGAACTCCCGATATCCTTCGTGAGGAAGGAGGAATGAAGGTGGTGTAGAGTTTCCAACAAACAGCATTAATGTTTCATGGCTAGCCTCCTTGTGTGAGTGTCATTGCTTTACAGGTGCTCCCTTCCCACCTGCTAAATCAATGTCATCCACAGTCAGCTGATGTAAACTGAGACAGTATCTAGGGTGACGACTAAAATGTGTTGTTGTTGTAGTGCAGTTTTCTCTCTCTCTGTTGAGAAATGGTCAAAGCAGCTACTTTGAATATGAGTGATGTATTACTCAGCTGCAGCGAGGTTATTTTTCCACCTGCTTTGTTTGTGTGTTTGCAAGTTGGCAAGATATTTCAAGCCTGTAGGCAAATGTTACAGGTTTTCTTTTAGGGCTGAAACTAACAATCATCTTCAATATTAAATCATTGTTTTGTCCACAAATAGTGAAAAAAGGCCAACGTCACCCATTTAAATTGTTTACTTTGTCAAGTAAATAGTCCAAAACCTAAATATATTAAGTGCGCTGTCATATGAGACATGAGGAACACCAAATCCTCACATTTGAGAAGTTGGAACCAGAGAGATTTTGGCGTTTTTGCAGTAAAAAATGACTAAAAACAATCAAAAGAGTGATGTTTTATCACACAATAATTAGTTAACTAGTTATTAGAAATCTATACATTTTGTTGTTAATAACACTTTTTACAATACAAAAGAGGCCTTTAAAAAAAAAAACTCTTTAACACACTTGTATGAAACCAACCTACCAATATATTCCATGATTACTTCTTCTTGATATTGAGTACATTTTGGAAGGATGACCCATTTTGTCAGGAAAGATGATTCAGTTTTGATCACATGATTTATATGGAGGTTTACATTGGTCATGGTCACTATCACATCAACCCCCCACCACATTCAACAGCTGTGAGTTATCACTGCCTGCATTTATCCATACTTGTTACATGATAACAACTTAACCATCTCCTCCTTTTCTATCAAACTGTCCAAACATATCTGCATTCCTCCATCAGCTGTGGCTGCTGTTGTCCTAAACATCCCGTGGATGCACTTTAAAGCCAAATATAACACTGCCAGTAGCTTTCTATGCTCTGCACTTCGTAAATGCTGTCACTATAAAGGATTTGAAGAGTTGAGGTTTTAATGATGGTAGGGAAGCAGTTCAGTGTGATTTGATTGGGTTTTCTTTATATTGAAGTAATCAATTTATAAGTATTCTGTATACAACTCATTCTGGTGCTGTCTAAATCTATTCCCCCATGTTGTCCAGAGGCTACAGCAATAAGGTACATCTCTACAAATTGACCCCCTTCCCATAAGGTCGTCCTAAACATAGAGTAGGTTGGACATGCAGCAAAGAATGCAACTGAAGTTCACGTTTTATGTTACAAGTTTCTGAGGAATGAGAGGAATGTGCGGCTAATCAGTCATCTGTATGATTAGTAGTGATGTTAAGAGGGGACTCAAATCTTTATATAGTGGGACATCTGTTTGGCTTACATCAGTTTACAGACTTGAAACCAGGACATTCACATTCAGGAGTCCTTGAGTAACCGTTAAAGCATGCTATACTGTGAATAAAGGCCATACCATATGTGACACATAGGTTCAAGTCACAAGTTAGGGATCAGATTCGCTTCCACTTGCTTGTTACTGCCTATAGGCCTACTTCACATGATGTTAATGATTGTTTGCAGGTAATGCTTTTGAATGGGAATAGCCTTTTTTTAATCAAAGGCAATAGAAAAGTGTTTATTGTGATTTTGCAAAAAAGTATGCCAAACAAAAGGACAGTTTTTTTTTGTAAGTTCCAGATAAATTTTTTCCAAAACTTGTGTAATTACTGGACAAGGTGCTGCCATCACCAAACCAGCAGGTAGGTGTGTGTGTGTGTGTTTGTGTTTGTGTGTGTGTGTGTGTGTGTTTCCCCCACCACATTCAAAGCCAGCTCAGCTTTGTCCCGTGTTTGGGATTAGCCCAACCTTTCCCACTTATGTCCGGAAACTGACCCTGAAATGTCACAGACAGCATGAAAGATACGTGGTGATAGCGACTGGCAGTTTTTTTCATTACCGGGCTCAGATTTGAATATAGTGTCATTATTACCTTTTAATAAAATAATACATTTCATTTTGGTAAATGTTAGATAAGAAGGTTGATACCATTCTCATGCCTGTGTTGATAGTAAGAAAATAAGGCTGGGAAGTGATTAGCATAGCTTAGCAATTATGTCATTAGTAAGGTTGCCATTATTTACATTTCTGTTTCAATATGTATTATCAAATTACATATGTTTTAATTAGGCTTATTTTTTCTACATTGGACTGCCAGGATAGCTCCCAATGCTTCTTAGCCTGACCTATGTTGAGCTAACAACGTTATGACTTTAGCTCCATACAAAACAAACAGACCCCAGAGTGGTCTTTTGTTTTCTTTCAAAGGACATATTGTCCCAGTTGTTTGTGTTCCAGTTAAGTACAAAGAAATACCCTCTTTCCCCCGGCAAACTCTGCTGTGTTTTTTCAAAAAGCCTTTCTTTAGAGTGAAACATTGAGATAGTAATGGAATCAGGTTGATCCACTTCTGTCACAGAATGGCGTGGGTTGAAAGTACAAATTATGTTTATGCAGAATGTTTTTTGTTGTCATTCATCTGCGTGCCAGTCACTGATATAAAGTAAAACATTGTG